TTTACATTGTTTTCACAAGCAAAATGATCATTGACCAAGGGATGCATTATAGTGGATGAGATATTACAAACAGAGAGAATAGATAGGATAACATGGCTTGAGTCAGCTTTCTTTTTTTCTTTTTTTTTTGGTACGCTTCTGTTTGTTGCATTAAATTTGAACTCTCTGCATGTCATGGTTAATTGATTGGTGTATGCCTCCTACATTTACATGTTTTCTCGAGTGCTTCCTAAATCATAACTACTCATGAAACCTTAGCAATTTGTACCTTAAAACATCTCCTCAAGTTTGTCAAACTTCTCACCTCCTCTCTTTATGTTCTATTTTAGAGAGAATATAGGAAACAAAATACTATTTGGGCTTCTCCTTCTCTTCCCTTCCCTTTCCTTTCCTTTCTTCATTTATTTATGTATGGGCATCACATACTAAAAACAGAATTAAGCATGCGTAGTATTGACATTTTCCAATTGCAGGCAGCAAAAGAATTTGAAACAGAACTGAAAAAGGATAACGATTCTCCCATGGAGTCGCCTGCTGAAAATATTACAACAGCGAGTGAAGAAGAGAAGCAAGAGGCCAAAGTGTCGAGCATGGAGAGTTCTTAAATTTGTAGACAGTATTATGCTGTCTTGCTATAGCTTCTTGTGTGTAACATTCGTTCTGGTTACATATTAATTTGTATCCTAATAGTGTCATGGATTAAGTTTGTCCTATTGCATCAGACTGATAAAAGAGTCGAGCGTTCATCTTGGGTCATGTTCAACTGGAATGTTAGAAATAGGTAATTTCTTCTCTTCAGAATTTCCTTGCGACATTTTCCTATGCACACACTATTATCATAGCATATTGATGGTTCTATTACAGTGCCACGAAATGCGCATTTATATTTTATCAAGTTGCACGAAAAACAGAAATGAATATAATTTGAAGTATCAAATTATTTACACAGATGGAGATAGATTAGGAGCATGCAATAAATTCCAGTCTAGAATGTATACAGAATAATTGGAGAAATTTTAGGAAACTACTGTCAAATGATGTTCAGTTGTGTTGAAGAACAATTTATAATACAGCATTGCTTCCCATTACCATTTTCTATCCATTCAGTTATAATTATCCATAGAGGATCTAATACTCAAGTGGTTTAA